CATCTGTGTTGTTACAAAAGAGTCCATCTCTTTTTTAGCTGAGTAGTTTTCCATCATGTATAGATACCACATCTTCCTTATCTACTCATCTGTCCTTGGCACTTAGGATATTTCCATAATATAGTTATTGTAAATTTTACTGCAGTGAATGTAGGAGCAAGTGCATCATTTCAAGTTAGTCTTTTTATATCTTTGAGTACATACCAGGGAGTAAAATTGTTGAATCACATGGTAGATCTATTTTGATTATTTTGAGAAACTGCCATACTGTTTTCTATAAGGACTGGACCAGTTTACTTTTCCACCAACACTGTAAAAGGGTTCCTTTTTCTCCATACCGTCCCTGATGCTTGCTGTTTCTGCTTTTTTAAATATGGGTCATTCTCAACAGTGTGAGGCGCTATCTTATGTTGATTTTACATTTCCCTGATGCATTTATCTCATAAGCCTGCTGTCCATCTGTATTCTTTGGTGAAATGAAACATGAAGAAATAAAACTAAAGAAGATACAAACTAAATCAAAACAAATTCTAGAAATCTCACTGAAGAATTAAGGCTACAAGAAGGGGCAGATGGGGGTGGGGATTGGCAACAAGGTAAGGGGAGGAGCAAAACTGACAGTGGTGGAAGATTATTGGTGCTTTTTGGGGGGCATAGTGTGGTAACAATCATCTGAAGAGGGGTGCAGTTGTACCCCTAGATCAAATTCAGTGTTGTAAACTATTACTGCCATAAAAAATAATACAAAGATAAAAATTTTAATAAAATTTCAAAACAATACAAAAACAAGTGTTTGAAACGACACATTAAAGATAACATATTATTTTATATGTTCACTGATTATAGAACTCAGACAATATTAAAAGTATCATCTTTTCCATCAGATAATGAGATTACATAATAAACTAAAATAACTTTTTAAACTAGAGCCTTTTCTATGTATTTTACCTCCAAAAATGAGAGGTAGGTGGTACAAAGTCAAGGATAGATTTTCTCAATCACAATATGATATACAACAATGAGCCTAAAATACGGATTTTCATCTTTTCTTGGTTTCGAGAATTAACAAATTAGAGATTATTCAAATACATTATGAATAGTTAAGAGCCTTTTGAATTGTGTGAATATTATTGTAATCTGATAAAAGTACAGATAATATTTGACTGACATTAATTTAAATACATGCAAATAGAAATTATGTTGTCATGTCTATTAGACTGAGCACCCACTATTGCATCAATTTGAAGATCTTTTTATCATTTAATTTAGACAGTTTCTAGTTGAAAGTATAAGACAAGCAAAATTAAAATTTAAGTTTAATTGCAATCTAAATATCTATTGGTAAGACAAAATTTAAGATCATAACTAAGAGTTTTGAGGTAAGTAAACTACTTTGAAAAAAATTTAAATGAAGGCAGCTGAATAATTCATAAATTGTTTCAAATTATATCAACTCGGGCCTCCCCGGTGGCGCAGCAGTTGAGCGCTGGGTTGCAAAGCTGCCAGCAGCCTCTGCAGTGCTGGTTCAATCCCCAGCTGCTCCCCGACAACCAGAGGAGGGTCCCACATGGTGAGCAGACCTCTCCTGCCGCCCGCTGCTCCCCTCAGCAGTGTACTTTGGTCCTTCTGCCTGCTCTGCTCCCTGCTCTGGCTCTGGTGAATTCTCTCACCCTCCCGTGCTTCTGACTGTACCCAGTGCTTGTATAAATAATAAATAAATAAATCCTTAAAAAAAAACAAAAACAAATTCTATCAACTCAAGAAATTCCATTGGAAGATGCCGTTTTCTCTTCAAACTTGAGCTATACAAAAACATTTTTTCATAAAATAACTCACATCTTCAAAAAATGTTTCTATTACAATTAAATGAATAAAACATAAAGACTTTTGGTAAGCAACAGCTTGGGATTCTAAATTTGGTGGTACCTCTTGTCAAATATTTGCTTCCTACACATCACAGGTAACCAATTAGGGACTTTTGTTGTGTTGTGTATTTAAAAGTCATTCCCTTCACACTCAATAGCTATAATGAAAAAAACAGTGGTAGGGACCTATGTGTTATAATAGTGTTGCTCAGAACAGTAGGATTATTAATAATGTTTTCTTTTAGAATTAAATCTGGCCTCATCCTTTGAGAGCTAGACCCAGGAGAGTAAGAAAACATAAAGAAATAGGAGCAGCGGGGCCTCCCTGGTGGCACAAGCGGTTAAGCACAGCACTGTGAAGCAATCCACAGCCTCTGCAGCATGAGTTTGATCCCCGGCCGGCCAGGGAGAAACCCACATGGCGAGGCAGACCTCTCCTGTCTCACCCACTGCTCCCCTCAGCAGTGTATTTCAGTCAGTCTGCCTATTCTGTTCCCCACTCTGTCTCTGGTGGGTCCTCTCACCCCCTGCAGCTCTGGCCTGTACCCCAGCTCTTGTATGCATAAATAAATAAATTTTAAAAAAAAGGAAATAGGAGCAGCAAGTTGGAAGTGCTACTTAGTACAACTATTTTTCCACATTCTTCAAGGCAATATGAATCAAGAGTTCATTAAAAAAGAAAAAATCTTAGCAAGCATTCTGATGAAAGTTCATGCTACGACTGCTTTACTTCACTAATGGGAGATTGAAAAGAATTTGCCCAACAGAATTAAAAATTGAGTTGCTTTTGTCACTATACTCTGATATTATTATGATAGCTTTCTTCCCTAGTTGAAAAATCCTATATCCTATCTTGTCAACTGCATTTGTTTTTAAAATGTTATTCACATATATACTGTTATGAAAAAAATTCCATTTTCAGGCCACTATCTGCATAAATATTTGATAAACTATATCACCACTCAATTACAAACAACTTCATAAAATTTTTTTAAGTATTAATGTTCTGAATTTCATTATAGAGTAATTTTTTCATATAGTACACATTCATATTTATACATGTTAAAATATATAATAAAATATGTAAGTATATATCATAAAAATACATAAATCTATACATATAATAAAAACCCTACCTCTATGCTGTAGTAAAACCAATGTAGAAGTTTCACTAAAGTGCTATAACTTCATGCTTT